TCCCCTGTACCCTACTTGGCCCGACTACTTACCAAAAAGGAACAGGTCTCAAATGAACTAAGTCATAATTTTGAACATGGAACAAATATCACCGACATGACTTACTTCTCGTTATTATTATTATTATTATTATTATTTCATTCTTCATGTCGAGCAGTGTGCATTTTTAACTGAAGTGTAGGCGTATATGCTTAACAGGTTACAGAAATACAAACACAAATACTTTATCCAAGTTATTTTGTCTGTTCTCCCGAACGAGGTTTTATTAGTGCATCTGTTTGATCTAAGAAAAAATCTCCACCCTTATTGGTATGTTCGAAATGGAATGTTCAAGTTAGATTCGAGCTGCCTATTTGATTCAGTTTAATAAAACCAATGGTCACTGATCCATGATGTCATTTTTATTGCTTCCTTCAGGCTACTCATGAATATGTTAGAATGTTGAAGGAAAAACCATGTTGCATGGGAACAGCAAAGTGAACACTGGAACGTAGTCGGTTAAAGCGACGGTGTAAACAATTTTAGCTGACCTGAAATTGTTTTGAGCGTGTTTCAAGAACGGGTAAAAGTGTTCGTTCTTTGATCACGGCAGAGTGATTTGGCTTTAAACACCAAAATAGGGGTGATAAACAAACGAGAGATTGGATGGAATGACACGCAAGCGCAAACCACGCATAGTCAGACCATTGACACATCGTGCTGACATGCTAATGCACCAGAATGTTTTGCTGAAGCACAGATCAGTCTGCCCACGCATGTTTGTATGCTTAGCTTAATCAACGAGGGAGATGGAATACTGATCAACTGTGTGTGATATATAATCGTTGGGTTTATCGATTGATCGCGAAAACCACCAGATGGATAACGACGAGGAAACGCAATCAGACGTCCAAGTGACACAAGTAGATGGAGCGGTCAAAATCAAAGTTCCGATGAACATGCTGAACAAGAAGTGGGAGAAGTGGATGACTGAGAATAACAGAGTGTACTCCAGTGAAGAGGAAGCGGAACGGCGACGGGGATATTGGACGAACTATGCAATTGCGATGATGCAACACAATGTGAAACATGACATGTGCATGGAGTGCTCCGAGTTGTCGTTTAACCAGTACATGGATCTGGGTCCGAATGAACGAGTGTGCGCTTGCAGTGGTGTTTGTTCAAACGATTCCCAGACCAATTATTGTAAATCGGATCATCCTGATGCAGATCAATCATCGTGATCCAGAATAGGGGAGCATTTCTCGTAGAAATAATAGTTCCATTCATCCAAGTCAGAACTATTTTGTTGGTATTATACTATCAGCTTGGGACATTCAATACTTTCGAAATGACTTGTGATAATCTTTCCTTTCGTAAGCTATTTTATCCAACGGATGAATATATTCCGCAAAATGTCTTCGTTTTCTTTCGAACGCTTCTCCTCCCTTTGATCATTCATTACTGCATCGTTTTAGCCTGTGTTATGATTAGAATACCGTACCATTATGCCACAAACAAATGTCCTTGCTTTTTTTAAACACAATTGAAAAATTTCGTTTTGAACAGCTGTTTACTTCAGACATATCTGTTACTTTACTGAATCATTCGTTCAATGAATCTTGAAAATATTCTGGAATGAATGAAAATTCATTGCATGTTTGATATACGGGGCCGTCGTGCTGCAAAGACGGATGATCATTTCATGTGCAAAAATCGTGAACAAATTTGGAGAACTATGATAGCGTACATGCCAGTAGTGCACTAACGGTGGTCTCTCAAAACGTGCTCCATTTTAGGTTTTGTGAACTAACTATAGACTGACTCGCTTGCAAATTATTCAAGTGAACGCAATTTGAAACGACCTAAATTAGTAGTTCTATCTTTCCGAATCTCGTGGTGTTCGTGGTGGACAGTCGTCAAAAGGACTGACTAAATCGTTTGAGATACTCGAGATACTGCTCGTGTACGAGCCCACTGATCGTTAGGATATAATCTTGTAGTCAGTGAGGCTGATTTAAGAACCTGTAGGGATCGTTTAAGATCAACTGGTGCAGTCAGGTCTACGTAAAACAGTTTGGGTATCACGAGCCCAAAATTCTCGGAATGAAGCTGTTCAAGTAAAATAGTATTGTAAATCTAGCATTAACAATACAAAATCCAACAAACGTCACGAAAACTCTCACTTCTCCATGAAAATCAATGAAAAGAATTGTTGACTTCACGGGCTATAACGATCCACATAGAGTGACGCGCAAAAACCTGGAAGACGGCGTCTTTCAGCATATGGCTCTCTTCTACAAAAGTGGTACTGATTTAACGATTACCATGGTGGAAAATATGCAAACATCAAACTGTGGCACTATGCGATATTAGCCACGCCGGAATCTGTGAAAACAGTAATTTAACAATCAAGAACTGCGAGCAAGTAGGTGCGCAGCACGATGACAATGGCACGAATACACCAAAACAATGTCAAACAAGACCACACGCATCTGTGATATTCGCATTTAACTCACAGTTACTTGTGAGTGGTGGTGTGGGAAAATTGTCTGAAGGATAGTCAGTTCAAATCAACCAGCATTTGTGATCGGTGGCGGTGGGAAGTGAATTAGAGGGAAACGATCTAAATGCAGTGGGTGCGAATGTCAGTCATTAGGGACCACCGTGATATGACCGTTCTGTAAGCCTCTGTGTGTGCGTGTGCGTGTCACGGATCGATGAGAAGGTAAGACCAGCAGCGTCACGGAGCAAACTGACCAATGGTGCGTAGTACATATGTGTAGACGGCGCGGAAAACATTCGTAGGCATGGATCAGCGGGAAGCTAAAATCAACAACACACGAACCAAATAGGAAGATGGAGAATAGAACAGTGGTGTGGAGTGTGTGCAAGTAAAGGAAGTCAATTTGAGAAAGAAGTTATTCAACGGGAAAATCGCAGGTAGGCACAAAAGAATCTTAGCTCAATGCATCCATATACTTCTATTCTATGGTTGGGAAGGATTCTTAACGTTTTAATCCATTTTGTGTTGCTGTACCACGCAAAAATTTTGATCGTCTATTGAGTTCGTATTCCTCAGGGATAATCGAATGAAAATATATACATACTTCAAGAGCTTTATGCATCTGGAGTACAAATTTGGTTTTGTTCAGAACTTATTTGACAGAACAAGACGGATCCGTACGGAAGACAGAAGTGAACAAGAACTGCAAAACCGTCGGGAGTTGTTAGCAAAAAACGCTTACCTCGAAGCGTTTATTAATAGTAAACCGAGAATCGCTACAGAACCGGTTGCGTCAGTTCCGAACTTGCGAGTAACATTGTACCTTCAGTTCAAAGGCGATGACATAAGCCGTCTGCTCAGCAAACGACTGAGATCAGCAATCGCTCGAACGTAATATGCGGCCGACCCTCGAATCATCTACCGGACAACCATGATACCCACACCCCCGGCAAAAGAACGTCTACCTCTGTACGTCAGCTCTAATCTAATCTACCAATTCTAATGTGGCTGCGGAGCGACCTACTTGGGCAGAATAGAGCGATAATTAAGCAATCGGGTGGTGGAACATATTCCAAAATGGGTCCAAAATCAGATGACCCAATCGAGGTCAAGTCCGCTGCACAGAAACGAAGGTGGAAACCACAAGACCCCGTCCTCAGCCATTGCTCGACATCTGCAGATGACGCAACATCAGATCGACCGAAATACAGCGTTTCGGATCGTCTACAAGTCACGAGTTGCAAGATTGCTTAGGTTTGCTGAAGCGATTGCTATCAATCGATGGAAGCCCCACCCCTGTGTCAACAAAAAGAACTTTATGTTAGTCCATCCCTACCCTGGTAACATGATCCTTTTCCCCTCCATCCTTTTTATTTTNTTGCTTTACTTTGTCGCCATGCCAAAGCCCTCTGTAAACATTATTTTTTCTGCAGTATGCGAAACGCATGTTGAGATGCAGCAAAATCGTCCTGGACATAAATCGTGCAGTATTGCAGTATTGTATTGAAAAATACATAAGCTTGATTGAATGTCTTCATTATGTGATCTGGACTTTCTGAGTCTACCACACCTTCCCTTAAATATATATGATATACGAACGATCAGTGAATATTTTTACTAGTATTATTTAATTTCGAACTATCTTTGAGAGTCCACTCAAACCTCTTGTGTGATCGCCATTGGCTCCCTAGAGATATAAAATATTTTCGTAAGCACATCAACCAATCACTCCCAGGAAAAGACTATGATGGCTTGTGTAGCGTAAATCGGATCGTTATAATAGCGGCAGTAAATCCCGCGGGCAAAGGCAAGCTTCATAATGTTATCACGGATTTCACAGCGACACCTGACATGTCTCTGGATAAACAGAAGCAAAAAGGATACAGATGTAACTGCAGGAAATGTGTCTGTGTGAGATTCTCGTTTCACAGGTGGCGGGGTGTAGAGGGGGAAACGGCATAATTCACAACACATGACACTTTTATTTCGCTGGCATACGGGACTAATTCCCAGGGTTCGCGATCCCCATTCATTCATATAGAGTCCACCTAAAAGCAAGCTCTAGCATTAACTTTATCAACCGGGAATAGCGTTTATATTGCGATAAAGAATGACCGGTTCCGACTCATTTTAGTTTTAGGACAATAGTTTACTAAACAGAAACGTTTGGTCGCTCGAAATATTACGTTATCACTACGCTCTCAGCATCGATTTTTCCAATGCTCAATAAGGAATGTCGTAGGCCTTGAGTCCCAACCCTTTCACATGTACCTGGCTCTTAAGGTAGTTTTCTCTTATCATTAAAATGTGTGTTTCTTACCCCCCCCCCCTC